AACACTCGTGGATTGAACATCTGTGTGAACATGGCTAGGACGGTCTCCTGAATCACCTATCTGCACAGTATCCAACTCTTGGGCTGAGCTGCTCAACCCTATATCATTTGGGGTGAACACATGAGTTCCTGTAGCGACAACCCCAGTGAACATTCCATCTAGTTTTTCCTCCATTACTGGATCAATGCCAACGAATTTAAATTTTTTGGCTGACGGCGATGCCTGATATAGATAACAAATGTCGATTAATAAAATAGTGTTAGGTCAGTGCAAAATTAAATTAAACATAAAATAGAAAGAGTAAATTATGCACCTGGAGTTTTTCAACCCACCATTCTTCTGGTGCATCTATTGTGCGCTTAACTGGGTCCCAGCCCATTCCCGTTGATCCCCGTTTCAGTTCTTTTCATATTTTCTAATCCTTCTTTAACTGGTCTCATTTGTTCTTCATTTTCATTCGATCGTAACGATCGTAATCTCTCGATCGTAATCTCTTCCAGTCATTTCTTTGAATTTAACCAAGATATTTCGCCACCCTTCTTTGTTAAAAAATGTAGTTGGTCTATTTCCCACCTCAACCCCCCTTACGCATAAATCACAAAAGATAATAGTAACTTCTCTATCCCACATGACTGATGTTCCAGCCTCTTTAGCTTTACTCATTGAGTTCTGTCAGATTAATGGATAAGCACAAAATGTTTCTTTTCATGATAAATAAATCACAAAACAAAAGAACAATTTCTATATCAACCCTCTAAAAAATCACAAAACAAAAGATAGATTACTGGCATCTTCATCTTTGTGACGCCGTAAAGATTAGACATTGGAAACAAATCATGACAAAGACTACTAAAAAATAGGATAAATTTTGGAAAGAAAAAAAGAACTTTTGTAAAGATTGTCAAACTGTACATTCATATAAAAGAGGAACAACCATATAACACTATATCATATAAAAAAAAAAAACTATAAAATGAATATCCAAGAATTATTGAGTTGAGATTTATTTATTTAGTGGAAGAAAAAATATCATATAATAAATAAAATTTTCCCTCACAAATGATATTTCGTTTAGGAGCATTTGCATGCATTCCACCCAACTCTTTTGTATTTACATATCTAATACCTGAATTTTATGTTTTAAATTAATATCACCAAACTTTTTCATACCATATCAAAAATAAGGGGGAGTAAAGAAACATTAACATTTTTCTATATACAAACTATTTTAGTGTTTATATGATATTACAAAGTAGTTTCTATTTTTAGTTAGTGGACCAAATAACATTTATCTATATACTAACCTGTCCTAGCTCATGAACAATTTTCTTTTTTCCTATCTCATTTTACTTTTCATGAGAAGTTTAAATTCATGTTAAAAGAAAGAAGTCTTCCCAAAGAATATTTTAAAGTTCAAACACAACAAGAAACTAGACAGAAATAATCTAAAAAAAATTCTAATATCGAAGCCTCGAAAGTCAAAGTTTTTGCAATTATTAAATTTTTTTGTTCAACCAGCTACTTGATGCAGATTTTTGGATTTTCCCCATCAGCAAAACTAGAAGTTGTGTAATATATGATTCCTTTGTGCGAAATTTTCTATTAATAATCACAACAGTAATCATATAAAGCCTTTTAAAATGAACCTTCGATGATATAAATTTTTGGGTTGAATAACTTATAATTTTGTTTCTTTATAATTTTATACATGATAGTAGTTAGAGAAGTAATAGACCATTTTTTGATAAGAAAGCTTCTTGATATAACAAATGTATACCTACAATTCATCTTTTTATATGGAAAACTTAAATCATCTTCATGGCATCTAAGCGATCTAACAAAATATTAGGAAAACGAACAAGATATACCTGTAGCGAGGAAAACCAAAGAGGGCTACAGAAAAAATGAAGTAGGTGGAAAATGAGTTGAGCGAGAGGCTAAGGGTTGCTGGATCGAGCCTCGAACGGGCTGGGGACGGGAGAAACGCTGGGGACCCGG